GAGCATGGTAGGACACCATGGGGACCCGTGCACCCCCCAACCCGAGCTTAGGGACTTCGGGTTTGGTTGGAAAGGTCTGGTGGGTAGTCAGAGGAAGGTCAGGAGGGAACAAAAAACACACAGACACAATTAGTCGTCAATTCCCCAGAAAATGTAGGAAAATATGGGAAGTGGGGGGGGAGACCCAAACCCAGAAAGCATGGGAAATTATGGGGAATCCTGCTATTTGTGTGTATTTCTCTCTCTCTCTCTCTGTGTGTCCTTGGGCCCCTTAGGGTGGAGGAGGGAGGACGCGGAGCGGAGCGGAGCGGAGCGGAGCACGTGCGCGAGAGGGGGGTCCTCCTCGGGTGGGCGTGGCGTGCGCTCAGAGTGGCCTCTCGAGCAGGAGGCTGCTCTGTTCGAAGGGTCCTGCGATGGCCCGGATTTCAGTCGGGCGTGTCCCCCTACAAGGGGGATTTTCGACGAAGAATAAAAAACAACAATTACTCCAAGATGTTCAAACAATGGTCAAGAAATAGTCCCCAGACTATTTTTGGACTGTCGTTGAGTATTCCCCCTGTAGAGGGGCTGGCCCGACTTCAGCCCGGGTGATCGTGCACGCCCGCTCCTCTCCCCGCCCCTCCCTCCCTCTGGATAGCCTGACCTCGTCGGTGGCGCAAGTCCGAAGCGGATGCGCAGCACTGGTGCGCGGGCAGTCGTGGGCTGCGCACAGCGAAAAGGTTAGGTTATTGTTAAGTCGGGCCCGTCCCTCTACCGGAGGAATCTTCAAAAATAGTCAAACAATAGTCGGCGGACTGTTTTTTGCTTGTTTTTTGACCGTTCCGCTCTGGACTATTTCTTTTGGGATATGTTTTATCTTTCGTCGAGAATTCCCCTGAAGGGGGACACGCCCGAACCCTCCCCCCTGGATAACCCGGGCGATCGCCGAAAACTGACAAGCATCCTCCAGCGTTGCGCGACGGACTCCGCGCACGCCCGCGCAGCTGCGGCACGAGACCCTGGGCTTCCCGGCACGGGGCCCCCCACCAGACCGGCCCGGAGATCGGGGGAGTGGCCATGCGAAGCAAGACGTGCGCTCGTGTCTGTTCGAGGAGGAGGGGGAGTCGGAGGAGAAGGAGCCGACCCGACCGACGGGACAGTGACGAGGACCACGAGAAGAAGCGGGCGCAGTCCTGGGATCCTCGAGAGCGTAGCCACGTACGGCTCGAGTTCGGATGCCACCACTCTTGGGCGGATGGTGTGTGGGCCCAAGGCGGACAGCGGCGACGAGCCAGTCGTACGGGTGGGGGGGAGAGGGGATGGGGGCTGGACCGTTACGACAGATCTGTGTTTAGTTGTCGTAAAAAAGACATGCATGACGGAGAGTAGTGGGAAGGGTCGGAGAAAGGGGGAGGACGGCAGGGAAGAGGGAGGATTTTCGTTTAGACTAGACGCATGTGCAACTGTTGGCCTCGAAGTCGCCTGAGGAGGAGGAGAAGGAGGAGGAGGAGGACGACGACGAGGAGGAGGAGGAGGAAGAGGAGGAGGAGGAAGGAGGAGGAGGAGGAGGAGGAAGAGGAGGAGGAACTGTGATGCGTGCGCCACACCCCTTCTCCCGCCTCCGGGCCCGGTCGCCGCTGCCGGCCTCTGGCGGCGTGCGTTGGCTCCTTGTCGCCCGTGCTCGGCCACGCGCAGAGGGGGGTTAGGGGGAGGGGGGAAGGCTTCTTGGAAGCACCCTGCTTCTTAGAAGGTGCGGGCCTTGTCTATAAAGTAGGGCCGGCGCTTTCGAAGAAGCAGCCTCCTCCTAAGAAGCCTTCCCCCCTCCCTCTACCCCTTTGTGCGCGCCGCCAACATGCCACCTCTACAGTCCTCAGTTGCCCCCCTTGGCAGCCCTCGGCTGCCGCCCTCCGTGGCGCCGCAGCCGTCGACCTGCCGCGGTCTTGCAGCCCAGCCTCCGCAGCTCAGCTCGGAGGCTCGCAGTATTTTGCTGCCGCGGGAGACTCGCTGGCCAGCCCTTCGATCCTGGCCTCCCTGCACCACGCGGCCGCTGTGCGCTGCAGCACCTGGCAGTATGGCCCTCTGATGAACACTCGGGTGCCTTGTTGCTCGCTCGCCATGCACCCCGAACAGGATTGCTTGCTCTACGCCCCCAGCGCCTGCAGCCTTTGCCTCAGCCCCTGGGGTGAGGACGCGACGCCGCTCCACGTCCCCTGCCAGGACGCCTCAGCAACGGCCGGCCGCACCGGCCACTCACGCCAAACGTCTTCGTGTGTGAGTGCCCTCCCCCTGCTCCGCGGCCGCCCTATGCCATGTCTCGGCGGCAAGGCGAGGGGGGAAGTGAGGAGGAGAAGGCCCTCTCAGAAGGCTCGGAGGTCCCCAAGCCTACTGAGCAGTTTTCCAAGCCTTCCCCGAAGACAGAAACAAAAACACTTCTCAGGAGGCGCGAGGGCCTCCGAGGAGCCCCGCCGCCTTCTGAGAAGGCCTTTCTCCTTCTCGCTGCCCCCCCTCGCTCGTCGCCGAATGTCTCTTCCTCGTGCTGCCCAGAAGTCAGGAGGGAAAGAAACACACAGACACAATCAATCGTCCACTCCCAGGAAAATATAGGAAATATGGGAATTGGGCGGGAAGACAGAAACCCAGAAAATATGGGAAAATACGGGGAATCATTTTATTTGTGTGTATTTATTTGTGTGTCCATGGGCCCCTTGAAGAAGTTGGTACGCTCTGCCCCAGCTGCTCGTGCGCGCGGGCGGAGCTCCTCCTGCCGCGCCGCGACGAAAAAGAACGGCTGTCCTCCTTCCTCCCTCCTCCTCCTCCTCCTCCTCCTCCTCCTCCTCCTCCTCCTCCTCCTCCTCCTCCTATTCGGGCAGCCAATCTCCCAGACATGCTCGCGTCGGCAAAACATCTGGGCGGGCGGCGTTTCCTTCTTCGCGGCCCCGGCGTGCCCTCGCCGGGCCCCGGGGCCGTCAGAAAACGGCTCGAGATGAAGAGCCGGTCCCGGGGACAGGGTCGTGGCTTCCGGGATCGACACCCTCCCCCTCCTCCTTCTCCTCCTCCTCCCTCCTCCTCCTCCTCCTCCTCCCCCTCCTCCTCCTCCTCCTCCTCCTCCTCCTCCTCCTCCTTCCCCCCTGTGTTGGCGTTGGTGCCCCTCTCCAAGCCCCGAAAAAATCAGAACGTCGCATGGCTGGGAATCGATGCATGTAGAGGGCCGATCCTGGAGGGGAGCACCAGGTTCTGGCCCCATGTCTTCCAGGACCCATTTGTGAACACCGTTCTGCGTTTTGTTGACCTTGCCGTTGAGATCGAGGGGAGCGAACGATCTTCAGAGTCATGAGTTTTGATAATGTCTCTAGCGAGACGACCAAAGAAAGTACTAATGACGACACTTTGTCGCCTCTTAGCTTTACTCCCTCGGAGCGGTGCGCATGACAATCAATGTGTTTCCATGTGTCAGTGAGAGAGAGGGAGGGACAGAGAGAGAGAGAGAAAGACATATAAACAAGTATAGAGAGACGGAGAGTGGAGGTGGAAATGACAAAGGGAAACGACTATATGCAATGCTCATTTGGTTTCACTGCCCTCGCTGGCATTCATATCACCACGCCTTCGGTGCTATGTGTTAAAGCTGGGTTCGAATACTGCGGCCATAATATGGACTTTCGTCTGCATGTTATAGATCGGTATGCATATACATGTGCACATGTAAGCATATTTTAGTTGATATGTCTGTACGCATGCAGGCGCATATCGATTGAGATTCGTTCGTGAATGTCCTTGTTCATTGAGTGTCCTGCGTCGCTGTATACAATTTGGCACATCGTAGGGATGGAGAAACCATACCAGAATTCTTGCGGGTGGATTTATGGCGGAAGTTGGAGGACGCAGGCGAAAAGAAAGCGATGCCACGCAAGAGAGGTCAACAGATTTCGTCATTCGTTTCCCGACTCAGTCGCGCGTTACAGTTTGCCGCAGTTCATGTTTGTAGGCTTCTCTCTTTGGGGTCCTTTGCGCGCCTTAGTTTATTATCACGTTTGCCTTTGGCCCAGCCTTGCCCGTAGCAGTAGTCTGGTGGCACTTCTCGTGGCGGCTCTTGCACTAGGAGGTCTTTCGGTCTGCAACTCGCCTCTGCGCGCTGAGTTCCGCCGGTGGGCGCCCATGTGATCGTGTCTAGCGGTGGACGCTGGGATTCTATGCTCATGCGTGCTGGTCCTAGCGGTGAGCGCCATTGAATCCCGTCCGTCCCGCTCATAAAATGCACCCCGTAGCAAGATTACTCTCCGCAAGTTGCACTTCGCCAGCTGCTCCTCACAGATTGGCGGCCTTTCAGCCGCGGTCCGAATAATTCCCTCCTCAGGTTGCGCCCCACGAGGCGCACCCATATGCTGCAGTCCGTGCGTCGCACATCATCTTTACACCATATAGCCCGCCCACATGCTGCAACCAATGTATCCCAAGCGCGAACTAGCTGTTTTAGGTCACCCGTGGGCGTCATTGCGAACGTAGCTAATGTATATTATACATGTGTATTTGTGCACATGTACATGTACATGTACGTTTCATGTATTTGTGTATGTAGATGTAGATATGTGTGCAGTGATGTCTGCGTATATTCACACACATATATGTAGATGCTATGTATATGTATTAGATCCGTGTAATATATATATATATATGTGTATATATATATATATTACACATATATATATATATATGTATTACACAGGGAACGCGGCCAAGGGACCCGTGACAGGTGCCTTCCCTCTCCATGCGCCCCCGAGCCCTCGCCGAGACAGCGCCTAGACGGCTCTCCATGCCGCCAGACGGTCCAGACAGCCCCAAGATGACTACAGAGGCCCCCAGGAGGCTCCCAAGACGCCTCTGAGACGGTCCGTAGTCATTCTGGCTCAAGAGATTTAGTCGGAAGGCTGCCTATGCACGAAGACAAATTTGTTGATCTGTTTTGAGTCACACGGTTAGCGTTGCGAGGTGTGCAATTCCCTCGAAGTCTATTTTTTAATGAGATGACTGCTTTGAGCATTGCCGAGACCCCTCACAAGTTGGACCCAGAGCGAATATTGCGGAGAACAGTTTCAAGCTCACAGACGGGACATTGTGTTGACTGTGATTCTTGGTCCCATGACTTCTCACAGTTCCGTGTGTTCCTCTTGCTCAGAATGCCTAAGGAAACGATCACAAAAAAATGCAATGCTGAGCGAATTTGGGATGGAGAATACGAATTTTATTTTGAAGTCATCTATCACTGCGATTATTTGCCAGAGTCACTTCTTCCTTACCGGCGTTCGTTTGAGAAGTGTGAGATGGAATTCGCTGGGGATAAGTTTCAATGTTGGCGGTTCGCGCATGGTTGCCAATTGAATGAGTACCAGTTACAGCGGCGGCGAAGGCTTATCGATGGCGAGGTGACGGCCAAACGAAAATCGACAACGATGGGAAAGTATCCGGAGTATCGACCTTTGAAAGCCACTGGATGCTCGATCGTTTCCGTTGCAGAATTGGCCGCAGCAGTCAGCAGGCAGTCTTGTTTGGTTTACTTGGGTGCAGGCATTTCAGCTGACCGCATGATGTATAATGCTGACATCAATGAGGCGATTGGTCGAAAGCCTGACGCCGAAGTCGACGATCAAGTGATTGGTGTTGTCAGTTGTGATCGGGGCAGGAACAATGTGGCATCAGTATACTCACAAGGTTTATTCATCCCGTTGGTTCATGACACCACCCCCACCTTGGCACATCAGGCGTTGTCGGAGTTGGTCTTGGCAAAGGGTTGGCCTGTAGTAACCACCAACTCGGACTTGCTACTGGAACATGCTGGCGCCTCAGCGGTGCAAGTTGGGGGGGCGAAAGCTTCTGTGGAAGATATTTGCTCACCAGAATCTCTGCAGCCATTCACGATGCTGATGTGTGTTGGCGTTGGCGGGGATCACAGACATGTGGTGAAGAGATTCCGCACGCACTGTCCAGGTTGCCCTGTAGTTGCCCTTGTACGTGGGAATGTCGGCGAATATCTTCTCCCCGGCGATCTCGTTCTGGAGGGAGATGTGCAGGAGACGTTGCCATTACTTACACGATCACTTCTCGGTGAAGATGGTGCAAACAAACCCAGCGCTCATTCTGCAGTTCCAGGCCAGGACTGAGTGAGCCATTTGAATCGGTTGAGCGTGACAAATTTGGATTCCGTTTCGAGCCGGTACCTGAGACGGCCCAAGAGGCCCTCACGAGGCTTCACACGGCTTTAAGAGATCCACAGGAGGCCAAAGATCTTGAAATCTTACGGGGAAGTTCTACATCGTTGAAGATCTTGTTTGTTCGCTTCCGAAGGGCATCGCAGGACTCTGGAAGGCGCCCCGAAGGCCTCGGAGAGTCCCAAGAGGAGCCCGAGGGAGTCAACACAACGGCCCCGACAACGCCCCAGAGCCTCCGAAGACGGCCCCCAGAGAGCTCCCAGACGACCCAGATGGTCCACAAGTTTCGCAGGCCTAGAGATTGACACCAACACCAATATCGGCGGTGTGCATCCACCGAGGGAGGAAGATCCCGATCTCGGCGATGGTGGTAATATTCTGGCTTCCAAGGTGGCCGAAATATTGCCACCAACACCGAAATCGAGGATCGTCTTCCCCCTGTGGAGGCAACCCCTTGTGTTGGTGTTGGTGCCCATTTCTAGGCCTCCAAAAGTTGGCTCCCCCGGACGTCCGACGGGCCACGAGCGCCGTGGGACAGCCCAAGGACCCCCCAAGGAAAAGGTCCCGAGGCCCACAAGAATGGCGCCCGACGGGCTCTCCACGACGCCCTCCAGAGGCCTCCCTGGCATTGAGCGGCTTGAGTAAGGAACACTTACTTTGCAAAAGGGGCTCGGTCGTTCCTTAAGGCTTGCATGCGTTACGTATCCTTCCTTATGCGTTTTTTATTATTTATCGTTCCTTATGTTTTTTCCTTGGAAAACAGGGGCTTCGTTCCTTATTTATCGTTCCTTAGGTCAGGCCGATGACTGTAGCACTGAGTCGGGCCTGTCCCTCTACAGGAGGACTATTCAAAAATAGTTTTCAAGTAGGCCGGGGATCTTTTGTTTTACTGTTTTTCAGCATTTCGGGCGTATGTTTGGGGTATTTCTTAGTTTTTCGCCCAGAATCCCCCTGTAGGGGGACCGGCCCGACCTGACCTTAGCAGCTTCCCAGAGCCCCCGGGGCCCAACAAGTCCTTGCACAGCCGAAAAACAAGCTTGAGAAACTTGACGTTTTTTTTAATTTCGCTTGTTCGCTTCCGACGAGCATCTCTAACCCTAGCAGGCGCCCCCACAGGCCCCAATAGCTTCAAGAGGGGCCCCCGAGAGTCCCCAGGCAGCCCCAGGGGGGCCCAAAGCTTCTGAAGACAGCTCGGAGAGAGCCCCTGGACGACCCAGTGAGTCCCCCAAATTGGCTCCCCAGGGCCCCGGCCCAGGACCTCAAACGGGCCACGAGAGCCGTGGGACAGCCCAAGACGCCCCCCGCAGAAAGCCCACAGGCCCAACAAAGGCGACACAAAAGACCTCAAAGAGGCCTCCCAGAGGCCCCCATATTCAAGACAGTCCGAGAGGCCCCCAACATCGCCCCAAGACGGTCCAAGAGGCCCCCAAGAGGTCCCCAGGACGGCCCAGGAGAGCCTCAAAACGGTCTGAGAAGCGCCCAAGACGGCCCAAAGAGGGCCCCAAGAGGGGGAATCCCATTTGACATTTCGAACCCTCCGCCATCTGCAAAAGGGGGCTTCCGAGGCCGCTATCAGTCCCCCAAGAGGCCCCCATGGGCCTCGAAACAGGCCCCAAGAGGCCCTCAAACGGCCCTTGAGAGACTCCAAGAAGCGTCAAAGCTCTTTCCACGAAGCGCCCGAGAATGCCAAGAGACCCCCAATTACAGGTATCCACGAAGCCTCTGGCCCAAAACTCAGGTACGGTGGCGGTATGGGTCGACGGCCATAGATGATCCCGGGTCGAGGTCCACAGGCGCCCACCTCCCCCAGATGGGACGCATCCCAGGGTTCCACATGCCCCACCCCCAGATAGAATAGGGGGGACGACGACGCCGACGCCGACACCGTCGACGCCGACGCCGACGACGACGCCGACGGACGACGACGCCGTCGACGACGACGACGACGCTGACGCCGTTGCCGACGCCCCAACGCCGACGCTGAGGCCGACGCCGCCGACGCCGACGCCGTCGCCGACTGACGACGACGACGACGACGCCGACGTCGATTACGACGACGACGACGACGACGACGACGACGACGACGACGACGACGACGATGAGCCACCCCACACGCACAGGGTGAGGGATGGGGGGTGCCTGGCACCCTCCACCACGCCACGTCCACAGGGCCACGACCACGCGGGGAGCGATCCCATTCGAGAGGCTTTCGCGAGGCTCGCGGGCGTACCCATCTAGCAGTAGGGGGCTCGATCCCATATGCATTGGCGGTGGGGAGGGGGGCGCAACCCTGGATCATAGATAAGCACAGAATTGCCCCGGCGACGGGCCCATCCCTATGCAGTCATGGGTAGCGCAGGGCGCGGGTCTCTCTTCACTGTGCGCCGCATGGCATCGCGGAGAGCGGGTTGCTGCGGAGCACACAAGCATGAGCGCGTTGATTTCTTTGTGGGGGGCACGATTCGCGTGAAGGATGTGCCGAATATGTCGGCTGCTCCCGCGCGAGCGCTCCCTCCGAGGCCGCAGGTGGAGTCCCTCGGGGCACGACCCGAGGCATGTTCCGAAACGGGCGGGGGGGCGCCGTGCCAAGCTGCCCGTTGTTGCCCCAGGTGGATCTCCTTCTAGGGCGCGATTCTCTCTTGTGTGTGTCCTCCTCCTCCTCCTCCTCCTCCTCCTCCTCCTCCTCCTCCTCCTCCTCCTGGATGCGAGCTTTGTCCCCGGGGCCCTGCGGGCCACGACCCGCGTGAGAGTTGTGCCGAAGTGAGCGTGGCGGCGCTGTGAGACTTCCCGGGCCTCTCGCACTCGGAAACCGAGGCGGCAGCCTCAGGGGCTGTCATGGGGATAGTCCAGTCGCTAGAGGGCCGTCTTGAGGCCTTCAGGGCGCGATCTTCTGGACCTCTGGGGGGCCATTTTGTGACGCATTGGCAGTCTTGGGACCATCGGGGTCCTGTTCGGGCCCTCGTGGGCTGCTGGATGTTTGAAGATGTGAGAAAACGGCAACCATCCAAACTGCGAAAACAGTCAGTGGTTTGTGTTTCTTCAGCAGGCTGTCCTGGATAGGCTCGGGCCCCCTCCAGGTCATCTTGGCCGTCTTGGATGGGTACGGGGCGAACTTGCAGGCTTCTTGGGACCCTCGTGCCATCGTGGGATGCCAGTTATGGTCGTCTTGGGCCGTCTGGGCCCGTCTTGAGGGCCATCTTGGGCCACGTTGGCTGGCTTGGAGGCGAGCCTCCCCCTCCCTCTCCTCCTCCTCCTCCGTCTCCCCCTCCTTCTCCTCGGACGGACCGAGAGCCACAAGGAATCTCTTGGAAGGGCCAGCCGTGTCATACAACTTTGCAGGCCGCGTCGTACCCTTCTTGCAAGCTGCAGGGGGCGACGGAACGAGGACGCCTACGGCAGGTCACCGCCGTACCCTTCATTTGGGGAAGCGCCTATGTATCTAAGCCTTGGGGAAAACTTGGGCAAGCGTTTGGACTGCGTGCTCCCCCCAGCAGTTGCAAAAGCCATCTGGGGGACATGGGATGGCCTCTGGGGGTCCTTCTCGGGGTATATTTGGGCCCCTTTTGGGAGTCTCTTGAGGATACCTTGGGAGCCTCCGGGGGCGTCTGCTGAACCTCTTGGGCCGGGGTGAGACTATCTTGGGGCGGCCAGGGGTTTCCTTTGATCGTCTTCAAGCCCTTTTTGGGGCTTCGATAGCCAGAGCACGCCCTCCTGGGCGCCGATGGTAGCCCAATGATCGCTCGAAAAAGAGGATCAAACGCCACAGGACACTTCAAGACGGACCACGAGGAGCGTTCAAATGCCATCAATGCCTCCCAGATGTCCCCAAGACGTTCCGGGATGCCACACACCGCTCGCCCTTCCACCCTTCTTCGCCACGACCTTTTTCTGGAGTGGTGGAAGTCGCCGATGTAGTACAAATGGTGGGGACGGTGTGAGTGTCGAGATAAGTGAATCAGACGTTACCAATGACATTGCACAGTCGAGGGTTGCGTACTCCGAGAGATGAAACCATTCCATATCCAATGTGAACTCTCCTATCTCCCACCCCGAACACGCGGATTCGAAGACTTGCGCGGACGAGCTTCCTTCCGCGGCCCAGGTAAGGCCGCATTCATGTGTTCTATGGTAGCGGGCAGCGCAGCTTGAGTTGCATGAGTGTGTACACTATGTGCGCATCAAAGGAGGGGCGCGGAGCCCCTTGCCGAGGGCAATGGCAACACATCCACACGCACGCATCGCACGGAGCTTCGGCCCCCCCCGGCAAGTTCTTTGGTGTCTGAGGCGCCATGCTCCAAATTCTAGCACGTGACTGCACAGCGATGGGATTAGTGAGAAGCGTCTGTCTTCCCAAGTGCAGCGAGCATGACCAGGCACACCAGTCTTGGCTCGAGAGCAGGCCTGAGTTTGTCTGCAACAGCTTGGCCCTGTCCCTCTGCAGATGGACGATGATGTCAGGGCAGAGAGGAAGCGGAGGTATCAGCTTCAGCAGCAAGTTGAGCGACAAGCGCGGCAGCCACTGCACCAACCAGTGCTTGTGGAGGGACACGCATCAGGGCCGACGAATGCGGCAATTGCTCAAGCTGCGCCGCCAGGTGGCCTCTCGCAGCCGGCACGATCGGCGCATCCGAGCTTGCCACACCGGCAAAGTGACGCAGACTGCACGGAAGGCCATTGCTTGCCAGTCTCCTTCGGGATTGGTGGCCTTCTGGTCTGCGCCAAGAGCGCATGCTTTGGATCTCTGCTGTTGCTGTTTGGGTCAAGCACTGTCCTGAGCAAGAACTTGCCCTCGGATGCATCGTTTGAGCAGTTTTTCTCGAAGTGGTTCTACCAGGAGTTCTTCCCCAAGATTGCCCAAAAGCTGCAGGCGGAGTTGTCAGAACGAGCGCGCTCGCAAAACATCTTAGCTGGGTGGGCATCGCATCTCCAGAGTTGGGTCCTTGACAGAACGCAGACCTTGCACGCAACAGTGTGGTACGAAGTCTGTGCGAAGCAGGCGCTGCCTCCACAGTTCTCGAGCTGGTGGTGCGTGCGAACGGCGACCGTGAACCTCGGATCCCCGTCTCGTCCAAGTCTTGTGACTTTCTGGGGGGCAGCAGGCAACTGGTTCCTGCCACCTTGGGCAGAGGCAGATCTTGACAACATGTCGATGATAGATTCGGCGCTCGGCGGGCTATCCTGATCGTTGGACCCTGTCGCTCGGACGGCCCAGCGTGCCTCACTCCGTGTGCCGTGATCTGGCCAGCTTCCCTGGTCGTGCCACCAGGAAAAAAAAGAAGACGATGACGATGACGATGACGATCGACGACGAGGACGACGAGGACGACGAGGACGACGAGGACGACGACGACGTCGACGACGACGACGACGGCGACGTCGCGCCACCAGGAAAAAAAGGGTGCCCAAGCGGCAGCCCACGAGCCGATCGCTCCTGGGCAGCCCGCCGCTCCTCGGGCCGCGGAGGGGGAGGTCACCACCCACCAGCCCACCCCAAGCCAACCCGAAGGCCCCAATTTGCCCTCCGCTTCCAGTGGGGGGGGGGGGCTCGGGGAACGTCGACAAAAACATCTGTGGAACCCGTACCACCCCCCAACTGAACCGCGTCACCGACGACGCCCCGGTGGTCAACCGAGCAGGCGGCAGGACTGCGTCGAGAGCTACTTGTGTGCTGAGGTTCTAGGGCCGAGGCCCTGCCGCGCCGCCCCGCCCAGGGCCGGAACCCCGGATCCGACGGTTGCGCGCTCGCTCGCTCGCTCACCCCCCCCCCAACCCGACATTCCTTGGCATCGCTCGGACGTGTGGATTTTTCCTTCGGCGAGGACCATCGAGGAGCATCTTGATCATTTGGCGAAAAAACCACGCACGAAACCGAAAAAAACACAGGGAATGGACGTCCGAGCGATGGCGAGATTCGGGTCTTCGGGTTGGGTTGGGGTGGTCTGGTGGGCAGTCAGGAAAGGGAAGCCCCCCACAGCACCCGGGCATGGCCGACCGCCCCCCCGACGCGGAGACTCGCAGCAGGGGGGGGGGGGGCTGCCGCCGATCGATCGGCGACGCGTTGCAGATGCAGGCTCGCTGCTTCCCCCCTCTGAGCCGGTCCCGCCTCTTGAGAAGGTTCTCCTTCACGTGAGGATTGGATTTGGGGGAGGAGGAGGAGGAGGAGGAGGAGGAGGAGGAGGAGGAGGAGGCGGAGGAGGGGGAGGGGGAGGAGGAGGAGGAGGAGGAGGAGGAGGAGGAGGAGGAGGAGGAGGAGGAGCGTCAGGAGCGTCATCGGAGCGCCGCGTCTGAGGCACAGACTAAGCGCAGAGGTGTGGGCGGCCTCGACGCCGCCCCGACTCCCCCCGAAGGGGGCGCCAGGGAGACGGCGGGGTCGTCCACGGCTGGGCGGACTCGTCGCCTCCCACACGCCCGCCGAGTAGCCCCGCGCCAAGCTGGGGTCTCAGGGGTCGCCCTGGGAGACGACGGGCCCGTCCAGCGGGCGGCCCTCAGAAGAGGAACACATGGATGCCGAAGGCCAGCGCGAACACCGGGCGCACTCGGCGCGGGCACCTCGCGGGAGCAGACCTCCCCCACGAGCGATGCCCAAGGTGGCACGGGTGGCTACCGCGGCGGGCGGCCGCCACTCCCTGCCGCATCGGAGCCGATGTCGATGCCGCTGGCGCGGAACTCCGCCTCCAGCGCCTTCACGATCGCCGCTGGCTCCGCGTCGGGCAGGTCCGCGAGGGCGCCCTCCAGCGCCTTCACGATCGTCGCTGGCTCCGCGTCGGGCAGGTCCGCGAGGGCGCGCACGCACGCCGCAACGACAGCCCCCGACACCTCCGTAAGCGCCAGCCTCGGCCCAGCAGCCTCCGCACCAGCAGGCGCCACGGGCGCCATCGGCGCAGCCGCCGCCGCGGCTGCAGGCCGACGCGCCGCGTCAGCCCACTCGTCGTTGAACTCGTCGAACTCGTCGCCGAGCTCCACCTCCATCCCGTGGGCGCCAGGCACGGCGTGCGCACCAGCGCCCGCCTCCTTGCGCGCCGCGCGCCTCTGCCGCCGCCGCCGCCGCTTCGCGGCCCGCGCCGCAGGGCGCGGGTCGGCGGCAGCCCCAGCATCGGGCACCGGTCCGGTAGGAGCGTCAGGAGCAACACCAGCAGCAGCGTCGCGCGGCGGCGGCGCGGGCGCCTCGGCGCGCTCCGCGAAGAGCGCTGCCGAGACGGCCGACCGCGCCACCGCGGCGACGGTGCGGCGCGGGGCCCCACCCAGGACAGCGCCGCGCACGGCCGCCTCCACGAGCGTGGCGGCGGCGGACATCGGCGCGCGAGCCCCTCTAGGCGCAGCCATCACGCAGCGGGACGGCGGCACCTTGCGAACGCTTGAGCCAAATGGCTACGGAGAGGAGGAGGAGGAGGAGGAGGAGGAGGAGGAGGAGGAGGAGGGGGAGGAGGAGGATTGGTTTTTGGGGAGGAGGAGGAGGAGGAGGAAGAGGAGGAGGAGGAGAAGGAGGAGGAGGGGGAGGGCGGTAGCGCGGGGGCGGTGCAGGCACGGCAGTTTCGGAGAGTCAGATCCCCCGACGGCCCCACGGAGATCTCTGATCCGCCGATGGCCCCAGAGGCCCACGGAGACCCCCGGAGACCCACGGAGGACCCACGGAGGACCTGCGGCCCCAGAGCCCTCCTCGTGTTCGACCTCCTCCTCCAAGCTCCCCCTTCTCCCTCTCCTCGTCGTCCTCCTCCTCCTCCTCCTCCTCCTCCGCCGATGGCCGGGGCACCCGGGGACCGAGAAAGATCGTCGAAGGATGCACCCCAACATTGTTCATGGCAGGATTTCTCATCGTGGGCGCCCACTGCAGTTGCGGGGCGAGGTCAGGGCCGGGAGAAGCGCCGCAGACTGTCGTGCTCGCACAGGCCCTCCCTTGAAGCGCACGGGCCGCGTCCGAGACTCGCGGGAGGTGGCAGTGATGATGATGATGATGATGATGATGATGATGGTGATGATGATGATGATGATGATGATGTTGATGTTGATGATGCTGATGCTGATGCTGATGCTGATGCTGATGCTGATGATGATGATGATGATGATGATGATGATGATCATGCTCATAATTATGATCATGATCATGATGATGCTGATGATGATGATGATGCTGATCATGATGGTGGTGATGATGATGATGATGGTGATGGTGATGATGATTATGATGATGATGATGATGGTGGTTTTGGTGATGATGATGATGCTGATGATGATGATGCTGATGCTGATGATGCTGATGATGCTGATGCTGATGCTGATGCTGATGCTGATGCTGATGCTGATGCTGATGCTGATGCTGATGATGATGATGATGATGATGATGATGATGATGATGATGATGATGATGATGATGATATGGTTTGTTGCGCCACTGCGTATACAACACAGTCCGTCGACTCCGCGTGACCAGTCTTCGCCGCAGAAAGATTTTGCTGCTGCTGCCGATGCTGCTCCACGTTTCGGCACTGTTGCAGCAGGCCAGGGAGCGATGTCGCGCGTCCTCTTCAAGACCTCGCACTGCCTACCACCTCTCCGGAGACATGCGTACGCCAGCGGGTGGGGCCGAGTGAGCGCCTAGACGATGATGGGCCCACATTAATGGAGGGACGCTCATGCCCTCTTGCGCGTCGACGACCTGGAAGACCTCCGCGAGCAGCCTCTCGAAGAAGAAAGCCTCCAGGGGACGCGCTTCAAGAAAGCCTCCACGAGCACCTCCGCGAATAATGCCTCTACGAGCAGCCGCATGAAGAAGGCCACCACGGGCGCCTGCGCGAAGACGACCACCACGACCGCCCACTCGAAAAAGGCCTCTACGAACACCTGCATGAAGAAAATATCCACGAGCACCGTCGCGAAGATTACCTCCGCGAGCACCACCTCTAATAATGCCTCCACGAGCATTCGCATGAGGAAGACCACGCCAGCACCGGCGCGAAGGAGGCCTCCACGAGCACCAACGCTAGGAAGAGTACCTTCGTGAACGCCAACGAGGACGGCCCCCACAGGCGCCCGTTTGGAGAGGCCCACGAGCACCCGCCCGACGAAGACCTCCGCGAGCATCCCCTCGAGGAAAGCCTCAAACGATTGCCCGCGTGAAGAAAATCTCCACGAGAACCAGCGTCAGGAAGACTCCCGCCAGCGCCCGCGCGAAGAGGGCCCCCACCAACGCCAGCGCGACGAAGACCTCCACGTGCACCCGCGCGCAGAAGATTGCCACGAACACTTCCACGAATGGGGCCGCACTGGCGCCTGCGAGAAGAGGCCCACGAGCGCCCTCCCGACGAAGACCTCCGCGAGTATCCCTTTGAAGAATGCCACGACGAATGCCCGCGCGAAGAAGACCCTCGCGAGCGGCCGCGCGAGGAAGATTTCCGCCAGCACCCGCGCGAAGAAGGTGTCGTAACGGCGGCGGCGCGGCCAGAACAGTGTCGCAACGGCGCCCCAGGTGTCTCGGCGTCAGGGGTCGTCGCGCCAGCGTCGCCTCCACGAGTGCCAGCGCGACGAAGACCTCCACAGACACCCGCGCAAAGAATACATCCGCGAACACTCCCACGCAGAAGGACCCCGCCGGCGCCCGCGTGGAAAGGCCCGCGAGCACCCCCCCCGATGAAGACCTCCGTGATCACCCCCGCGAAGAAGGCCTCAACGATGGGCCGCGCGAGGGAGATCCTCACGAGCACCCGCATACCGCCATCACCCGCTCGAGGAAGGCTTCCGCGATCACCGGCGCGCTGAAGACCTCCACGAACATCCTCGCGAAGAAGGCTTCCCCGATTGCGAGCACCGCGACGCCGAGGACGAGCCTGAATGTGCCGTAGAGCCCAACGTAGCAGTATCACCGGTAGCTGGTGATGGCAACGCGCCGACCACAACGTGCCTGCGAGGAGGCTTCTCCGCCCAATCTCCACAAACCACGCTTGAATGATATAGGAGAACAGAAAGAGGTAGACGGAGACTGAAACCACGAACACGCTTCGTATAACATGTTTGAACGCAACCCACAGCCTTCTGAGCTATGGGCCACTGGCTGGCGGCGGGGAGCAGAATACCAGGCGCCTTAACTCCCCGACGAATAGCCTGGATTCCGGATGGGACACAAACACTCGGTGACCCGTCCGTCCGCGCCCACCAACGGTGCGTCCGTGGAAGACGTAGAAGAAGACG